AGCTCCAGCAGCGTTTCTGTGGCCTCTCTCCACGGCCTGAACTGAGCAAGCCATGAAGCAGGGACCTGCTCGCACCTGCGGCAGGGACAGCCACCACTCTTGGAGAGGGACAGGCAGGGCCGCTTGAGGAGTTGCGGAGGCTCAGTCTTGCACAACTCCTCCCAAGAGCATCTTTAACTGAGAGCTGCATCACCCATCGGGAGCTCCCTTGGCCACAGTCCCGGCTCCGGATGGGGATGCTTGTGTCAGCCATCAGACAGCGCTCAGCCCCAGGAGTCTCAGCAAACAGATGTATGTTCGCTGAAACAACTGCTAATTGTTCCCAATTAGGGCCAGGTCTTGAATACTCATCAGCGTGTGGCACCAGCCCTAATGCATTTCACAGGATGGCCAGGAACGGTGACAGTGGAGCAGGGGGAAGGTGTCCTGCTGTCAGAGCCTGCCCTGCTGAGGGTGGGACTTGTATTTATGCTGCTTTCAGGGAAAAGAAAAACATGCCCCAGGCTCCTCCGGCCTTTCCTTGAGGGATGGTCCTGAGGGATCTCAGCACCCCTCAGCAGCAGTGCAAGTGCCAGCCCAGGGGTCCTTTCTGTCCCAGCCCAGCCAGACATCCCCCTGCTGTGACCAGTTGCCTTTGGGCAGCCCTAGAAGCCAGCAGAGCCTGCAGGGATGGCACAAACCTAAGGGTAGCACCAGCCTGAGGTATCCACAGGATCTTCCTGGCCGTGTTGGGCTGAGGACACCTGAGCAAGGGCATCAGGGGCTGCACAGCCACTCGCTGCTGCCCCACACCCCTACATGGCTGAGGAGCTGTGGCCATGCAAAATCACCTAAATGTGTCAAAAAAGCCACTTGTCTGAGCTGTGGATGCCTGTTGAGGAGCTCAGGCAAGAGGGAAGCAGAGCTGTTTCTCCAGGACTACAAAGGCTGAGCCAGGCTGGATGCTCTGTGTGTGATGCCAGCCCCCAGAAGCAGCTGTCCTGCAGCTCACAGGGTTTTTCCCAAAGCTGGAGACAAAACCTTATGGATTTTGCAAACCCCAGAAGAGCAGCAGCACAGCAAGATGACAACACAGGGGTCCAGCTGCACCTGATGCCACCCAACAGAGAGCAAGCTCCCCAAACCTTGCAGATGCTGGAAACACTTTTGTCACCAAAGGCCAGTGTAAGCCAAGCAGCCGGATGGGTTTGCATCTGGGAACACCAGCCCAGGGTACCAGGAGCCCCTAGGGAGACTCTGCTCTGCTGCAGGGGGTGGAAAGCCCCTTAGTGACCACACTGGAAGGGGGGGGGAGACGAGTGTACCCCCAGTTGCCCTGTAAGCAGCAGACACCTCCTCCATCACCTGCAGCCACTTGCACTGGGCACTGCTGGGGTGCTGCAGCCAGTGCTGCCGGCACGCTGGGGAAGAAAGGAATTTCTGTGTAAATCCCATTTACCGTTGGGTTTCTCACTTCCCCTCCAGCAGACAATCCTGGCCCTCAGTGCAGTGCTGCATGAAGGGGCTGTTTAATATATTTTTGGAAGAAGGAGAAAAAAAAACCCTCTCTGAAAAGAGTCTCTTTCAGCTAATAATGAAGTGAATATTATATTAAGAGTGAAAACATACTCAGGGTAACTTACAGAGGAAGACAGAAAACCTTTTCATAACACCCTGTCCACAAACACAACTGCCAATTAAACCGGCTTCGTTCGCTGGCCAGTGCCAACACAAACGAGGGGGCAGGGGAGTGGAGCACACCAGAGTCGGCGCGTTTGGTGCCCAGTCGGGCTCAGCCGTGGAACCGAGGGGTCTCTGCTGATTTCTAGAGCCAGCCATCAAAATAAAAAGGCACAAGTCCCTTGTCCCCATCCCAGGCTGTCCCTGCGTGGAGGCAAGGGGCTCCAGTGCCATTAGGGGTCTTCAGTCCCTGCCCACAGCAACTGGCTCTACCCCTCCTCTGGTGTGCACCAGAGCACCGTCACCAGCAGCGGGGCCACAGTGGGTGACAGGAGCCCCAAGCACCCAACCCCAGGGCCCAGCAGGATTGCTCCTGGCCGTGGTGGAGAGTGCGGAGCCATCCACCCAGGCTGAGCTGATGGGACCAGCCCAGGCATGGAATGGTCTGTGGGGGTAGAAGCTGCATCTCCCACCTCAACACCCTGTGCTGGGAGAGGGGGGGAAGGAGACCTGTTGACCAGCCCACAGGGCTGAGCTTAGACTTTAGCAGGAGGTACCAAAACCTGGAGCACCTTCCAGCATCCCCAGCCCTGCCAAGGGGCTCTCATTTGCCCCAGATGTCTCATCCTGACTAGCTCTGCCATCCCACTGGGTCACCTGCCAGAGATCTCAGGCTACCCCCGTCCCCCACAGAGCACAGCCACCCCACAGTGGGGACACAACACCCACTGATGCTCTCCAGGGGTTCTGCATCAGCTGCCCCTGGAGGGGACAGGCAGCAACTGGGATCTCATTGCCCTCACTCTGTCCCCTGGGGGCAACAAACTGGGAGATCTCACCCACAGGAGCACCCACAAGTGACATACAGGCCTTGTGATTCATACTTGACACAGGCTTTATCTTTGTCTTGCAGCCCAAGGAGCTGAATCAATGGGTTGAGGGTACACAACATCTCAGGTTTTGGTTAAACACCCACACCGGGAAAACATCATATGATATCAGATAATATTTTAATTGAGCAAATGCTTGGCAAAGCTCAGGAGCTGCAAGTTGACATTTGATAAACCCAAACTGGAAATACAAGACCACTTTTGAGCTGTAACCAACCTTTGGAACAGTTTCTCCAGGGAACACACTGAAGATGTTTGTCAAACTATTTAACTGGGATGGGGGGGAGGGAAGAGGCAGTTTGGCCAAAACTCCTCAAAGGCCCATGTTTTTTGATTAACAATCAGAACGTGTGCTGCTCTGTAGAGACTTTTGTCTGTTTTGCTCAAGGACTTGTATTTCTGTTTTAATGCCAAGTTAAGATCCAAACACATCTTTGATTTTGCCCAGAGGCTGAAAGTTTATATTTATTTCTTTAATAAATAAAATAAAAAAAAAGGAGGAAATTAATTTTTGGCCATTATTTGGTAAAGAAAAATGGAAAAATGTACCTTAGCAAAGTCTAATTAACCATGGAAAGTCTCTCATACAGCAGTAAACTGGACATCAACCTGGACACAGAATCTAGGTCAAATACAAGTTACCAGCCTGGCTGGCAGCAGGCAGACCGTGATGGGAGCAGACCTTCCAGAGACTTACAAAGCTCCTTGCCATGCACTGGACATATATATCTGCATTTCAGATTCAGCACAACGCCTTCCACAATCAGCTTTGTCCCCACAGTTTGGAGAGCAGAAGGTCCTGCCTCTGCAAGGTCAGCGACAGACAGGGATGTGCCAAGTTTCCATCTGCAGATCCGGCCGCCCATGCTCGCTCAACCCAAGCGCCCAAAGGCTGTCAGAGCAATGCCAGCACACCCCACGTCAGAGCAGAGGCTGAGGAAGCTCCAGGAAAGGCAGAGCTGTGTCCTGCTGGAAAACTCGACCATGTTTACGTCTTCAGACCTATCTTACCCGAACAGGCAGGAAACACAAAGTTCTCTGCTTCTCATAGGGAAGAGGCATCACCTTCCGATCAAAGCAAGTTATTGGAATGATTTGTACAGAAACAGACCAATATCCAGATTTAAAGCCAATCAGAAACGAACCCCTGAACCACCTGCCTTTGGCAAAGCATTACCAGGGAGGCATTGCCATCTAGTGTCGACCCAGGAAAAAGGACTCGGAAAGACATCCACCTCCCTTGACCACCATCCTACAGGGACTGCTGGGGGGATGGGTCTAGTGCCCCCGGGGAGAACAGCAAGGCTGAGCAGAGGGGACAGGGGGACAGCTGGGAAGCCCTTGCCACGGTGGCTGGGGCAGTCCAAACCCAAAGCACCGGCAGTTGGACAAGTGAGAGCCCAGGCTTGTGATCTTCGCAATGGGAGCTGCTGGCCCAGCTCAGTTAAAAGTCTCACCAACCACCTTCCATGCAACACTTGCCCTTCAGGGGTGTATTATCACTGCACACTATTCATGAGGACAAAGCATCAGAGTGTATGATTAAGAGAATTAGGATGATAAACCTCCATTTCTTCCTTTTTGATCATCAAGAAGGCTCCCAGGAGTCTTCTAGAAAAAAAGTAGATCTGGGAAAAAAAAAAATTAGTCACTGGATTCTTCTTAGGGGACCGGTGACAAATCCCAAACCCTGCACTCCCTTTAGGTCTCTTTTCTTTAAACTAAAAAGCACAGCAGGATTCGACCTCCTCTCAGCGACCAAACCCTCCTTCCTCCAAAAGCTCAGAGGACCAGAACAAGCAGACAAGCAGCAGGGTCCAGAAGTGTGCTTGCAAGGTGCTGCCAACCCAAAGCTTTCTGAACATTTTTTTTTTCCCCTCCTCTTTGGGACATCCTACCAAGAGGGTATTTTATTTTAAGACACTGTCAGAGCACGGTGGTAAGGATTCCAAAAGCCATAAAGACACTGGCAGAACAAGAACGCTTCAGACATTTCTCTCCTGGCAAGGGGCCGCCTTGGATCTCACAGTGACCACAGGCAACACTCCCTGCCCAGCAAGTCAAGAACAAGGCACTGAATCAAGTTTAGAAGACATCACTCATCCTAATCAAACACAGGCAGGACAAATATCATGAAAACATTGTTTCATGTTACCATGTTCCTCCTCCTCCACAGCTTCCTGCTAGTTTTGCATTTACCTGCCACCATCTAAGTATTTGATTTTGCATTTAATAAATCTCAGATTTACTACACTAATCACACTATAAAGGCATATGTTCAGAGAGACACGGGGAGTACAGTGGATTTTGCTCCAGAAGGAAACAGACTTGATTGCAGCCAGAGGAGTCAGCAATATCTGGAGAGGAGAAAGCTGGTATTAAGTAATTTGAAAATTAGTATCAGTATTCACAGGTACATTCAACCAAAACAAAGAGCATAACAGGCTGTTGCCCAAGAACAGAGCTAGCTATACAGCAACAAATCAGACCCTATTTCCAAATTCCAGCTCCTTACACCGAGACACATTAATCACTCTTGCACAATAAACTGACACAAGTCTTGCCAGCATTAGTTCTCAGGTTGGTTTATTTTTTTTCTCAGAACAAAAATATCCAACTTTTTTTCTGAAAAATGACCTGTATAAACAATACAAAACTTCATGGCATCCTACTCCCATTTGCAGATTCCCTAAAAGCAGCCCAGAAGTACTACATCAGGGAACAGTTTTTTTCAAAGAACATGCAGGGGAGAAGACAGGGAACACTTTCCTCTCCCTTACATCAGAACTGGTTCTTCTGTGAACAGTCTGAGAATATGGTAAACAAAAACAGCTTCAGAAAAATGAGATTGTGTTTAAACACAGAACCTCCACTTCACACTCTCAAAACAAGACAGTGCTCTTGCACTTTTTCCCAAGACACGATCTCAGAGGGAGGTCTGCTTCCTGTTCAAGAACTGCTCTTTTTGTCAGCCGGTGAGGTCCTAGGATAACAAAATACCCCAGTCAGTGTCCCACAGTGATCACCTGTACATTTTATTCCCGTTCAGCATTAAATGATCAACTGTTACCAGCACGTCTACCATGGCCCTGAAAAACACTCAGAATTTTGTGGATCAGCACAAGTGGAATGTACACAGTGAAATTACCATAAAATTCATTCAACTTCCTCACAAAGGACTTGGAGAAAACTGAGAATTATGTGACTAGAGGTCAAAACTAGCAAGTCCACCTCAGAGAAACCCTGAGAACACCCTTCAGGTCACCTCCCTTCCTGTATAGGGTCATCCATGCTACCCTTCACTTGTGCTTTTCCTACACTGTTCTGGGAAAGCCAGTTCCTGGATACTTACTCTTTGCCTTTGGGAGACAGTCCTGTGTCTCCTAGAGGATTCACCATTCTCCTCAAAGGAGATTTCTATCGTTTCTCCCCATACTTACTTGCTCCCCTCTTCCCCCCTTGCCCACACCCCCTTCCTGGTTGTAGGGCATGAGCACCAAGAGGTCTGGCCACACCACTGCGACCCTGGCAATGGATCACACAGTGCCCCGGGGTTTTGTTAGCTCCCTCTGCTCCATCACTTGAACTTGCAGTTGGGTCCTCACCAGCCTTGGGAGCCCTGGCACACAATGAGAAGGTGACAGATTCTGCACCCAGCAAAGCCTCCTTCTCAACCATCCCTCCCCCTCTTCAGGGTCACAAGAGCTTCACTAGAAGGAAACCACTATGTAGGCACAAAGTCAGTTTTCTCTAGATGTAAACCAAAACTGTTTCCAAACTGATTTCTACACCCCACCACACTCTGTATTTGAAAGGGGAACCTCTTGGGTTCAGAACTTGGATCATCTGCCTCTACACCTTCTACACGGCTACGCTGACCTTGCTGCCAAAAGCTGCCTGCTCCCTCGGTGCCTCTCCCAGCCATGCTTTCCCTCTGCCTCTCCAACTGCAGACAGAACCAGCACCTTCTCCGTGGCCCCTGCAGGATGTTCGAGTTGGTTTTCAAGTGCTGCTCTAACACTGCAGTGGAGCCATGATACACACTAATGTGGAGTTCCCTCGTGTTCCCAAAGCCATTAAGCATCTGGGATAAAGCACCCTCAGCACACACATTCACACTGCTTTCTGATGTGCCCGTTAACGTATTTCAACACCCTGCTGCTCACAATACTGCTGCAACGGGCACCTCCAAGACACTCACAGAGGAATACTGATATGTAGGGTATTTCTCTTTGTCTGAGGGCAGACCGTACTGAAACACTGCTGAAAAGTCACCCCCATCCCTTTGTCATCCATGGGATGAACAGCAGAGGAGAAAAAAAAAAAAAAAAAAAAGGGGAAAAATCCTTGGAAACCTTTTCACAAGGTAACCCATTATCTATCTCCTATAGAAGTTCCGAGGATCAAAGGAGGTACGTTCAAAAGATGCCGTATCTTCTCTCAGCTCAAGAATACCAGGAGCCCAAACAGATTTTTGATACTCTTTCAGCAGCCGCAGCCACTACAGCTTGCTCAGCCAGCTCTGCTGCAGTGGTGAGCTCTGCAAATGTAAATTAAATTACTAGTAGCAAAATGAGGAAGCTTGTTCCTTAGAGGGTATCAACTTACAGACTGCTAACCAGAAGGCCAAAAAAAAAAAGCCATAATTGTGAGTTAAAAAAAAGACACTTTGCAGACTAAAGGATGAGAAGATAAAGCATCACATGAGGCTCAAAGTCCACGCCTCATTCGTTATATATTCTTGAAAGGCACCACTGGATCACAGGATAATTAGGACTGCAAAGAACATCAGTAAGTCTCCAGTCCAACCTCCTGCTCAGAGCAGGGTTAGCTACAAGGTCAACCAGATTACTCATCTTCCTCTGATGACCCTGAAGAAACGGGGTTTTAGCCGGTCTGTATAGTCAGAGCCACACAAAACCTGTGACTCATATGGCACCCTGCCAGAAAACTGAGTCTGAATCAGGGCAACGTGCCTCTCTCAAAGGCTGACCCCAATTTAAAGTTTGGGATAATAAAAGCACGAAACAGTTGAGCAACTTTCAAGACTGCCAGAAACACCTGAGTAAAGACTTCTAGCCTAGCACGAACTAGGATCCACAGTAATAAGTCAGTGCAGAGTCGCTGTCCTGGTTCACCCAGACTCACGAAACCCCATGTTACACTCTCATTGAACAGGCCACCTTTTACTGCCAAACCTTCCAAAACTGGGAGCTGACAAGGTTCATTATAACCCAAGATTATTCCCAGTCAGCTTCAGGGTAGCAGCACTTCCTAGTATCTCCCCCAACCAGGAGAACGGAGAGAGGAACTTTCTAAAGAAGGAAAACTACTGGAGGACATTTCAGCTGCTCTCTTCTCTTTCAAAATGAATCAGAGAAAGAAATGCTTAAATCATTTCTCCAGCTCACAGCATAAAGTTCTAGCAACTAGGACAAGAAAAGTTTCTACAAGTGTAATGACTTTTTTCCACTGATGTGCTCTAGTGTTCTGTGTATTATTAGAGAAACGCATCTTTGCTCCTGCTAAAATGCAACTGACTTCTACTCTGCTACTTGTCAGTCTAATATTATCCCCACACAGCACTTCCTTTTACATGTCCTTCATAGGCATACTTGAAAGATAATCACTTGATGTTTCCACTGGCTGTTAGCTGTGGTTTGGGGTGTCTAGCTGGGTGTAAAACCTATAGCTATTGCGACTTCTCGTGCACCAGAAAAACAAAGGATCAAACTGTGAGTCTTCTGGTTTCACGGCTGCTATTTGAAGTAATAAAGTCTTTACATGGAGCTAATTAAAAAAAAAAATTCAAACTGAAACCCTAAAGCCATTTCAAGGAGTGTTTGATCAGTTCATCTCTTTCATTTCCACCTAATGGCTACACAATCAAAAGAGAAGTGGAGGGGAAACACACGGCCCTGAAGACGCAGAGAGCTGGATCGTGTTCAAAGTGTTTGCTGCTCCTGCACGTAGGAGAACAGCGTGCTCCAACCAGGACTCTGCTCCAATATTTGTTTCCTTCCCTTAACAGCAGGTTGGCAGCAACTCAGCCACGAAAACCAGCAAGGCACACGCTCACTTTGAAGTTCAGACAGAAGTCTGTTGGTACCAGCTATTTTAATTCATGCTTCAGAAAGACAAGGCAGTCGATCATCAATTTACAGTAAGCAGCATGCCAGGTCACAGGTCACTTATAATCACAGTCACCTTTACTCTGCATTAAAGCCATAATTAACAGTTAATGTTTAACTAAGGCTTTAAAATTTGTTTAAGCTGTTTTGTTGCTGCCTCTTCCCCAGCTTCCCCTTTCCCACCTCCATCTCTAGCAGGGCTGAAGGAAAGTGTCATGTAAGTACCAAACACAGCAGGTAAAATTTTTGTCAAAGCATAAGGAAACTGGAAAGTAAGAAGCATGCACTTGAAGCATGGCTCCTGCCAGTTCAGCCCTCGTTACACCCATGCTTTGAAGCAGCAGCACCCAAGAGCGCTGCACTGAGATAACCCTCAGTGAGAAGGGCGCTCCTCAGGGAGAGGCAATCGAGTCATCAGCTTTGTGGAGGGCAGCCTGAAAGGCTGGCCTGGCTTTTACATCCTGAAAGAAGAAGGTTCAAAGAAATTTAGCCTCCACAGGTCTTATGGGAGAAAGGATACCTTCTTTTCAACACTTCTGTTCAAATTTGAATAGGGTTCTCACTGGCCACAGAAAAGAAAGGAAGGAAAGTTTTGACTTGGTGGTCAGGAGGACACAGTACATCCTACATCACAGCTCCACATGACATGCTGGAAAAGCAGATGTTACGTGTGCACATTTGGGGAAGACCAGCAAAGGAGCTAAAACCTTCCTGAATGGCAGTTGCCCAAGAAGTGCTCTTCACTCAAACCCTGACAAATCCAAAAGGAACTGCTGCACTGGAATGACAGCCTGGAGAAAAACCACTGCTACCGGGAGGTGAACAAGCTTCTTCTGAAATGCACCACGTGGACACCACGAGGTTACTGACAGGCTGTAGCTCTCCTGAACAGCAAAAAGAAAGCCCAGCAACAGGCAGGGTGCTATCAGCTAGCTGATAACAAGATGTGCTGGGCAATCCACCCTGATACAGGGAGAAGAAACAGCTATTTACAACACCAGGCTATCGTGGTTTTATCTGGACCCATTTATTAGAGGGAAGACGACGTATTGCCACCCCAGGGAGCCTGTCTCCGAGCATGTGACGGGCCTTCAGAAAATTACCTAATTAGGGTACCACTTATCTGCTATCTACAGAAGTGATTCTGCAGTCTGCCATACCCTCATTTCTCTCCCTAATGCTTTGTTTGGGGATGTCCAGTTGTTAGTGCTTCAAGTGGACTCACTTAAATGGCCAAGGTGGCTGTCAAGCCTATCTTCAGAGTGCAGTAGCACACGAGCACGCAGACACTTAGAGACTTTCCACATCTGACGGCTTGGGCAGGCTCTGACTACTCCATCACAGGTGCACCAGGTGTCCAAATTCACAAATGGAGCATGCAAGGAGCAGATGTGCTACTCCCCATTTATATAACCAAGCTATATGAGATTCCATTGCCATCTGAAGATCTGTGCTTATGTGCTTTTCTCAGGATGGTGGGGTTTTTTTTTTCGCAAGTCAATTTGTCATGATCCTCAGCAAGTTTCAAGCACTGCCTGTATGCTAGACAGACAGCTCAGTGGCAGGGTGAATTCTCCAGAGATATTTAACAAGTCTCGACTCCAAAGACCCTGAATGCTGATGACATGCACTACCATCCTGAACCTGAGGTGATGGAAGAAGGATCTGTCAAGTCTGCTCAGATCTGTGATAGGACAAGGATACCTAAAGCAAAAAGGAAAAACAGAAAGCAGAGCTCTTTCTCAAGCATTTCTAAAAAAAAAAAAAAAAAAGCCAATTAAAACTGCTCCCAGAAAAAGCAACAAAAGAACTTGCTCAGAGAGCAAGAGGTATCATAAGAGGGACAATTCTG